CAATCAAGTCCCTCACTGCCTATTCTCTGCGCTCAGCACTGGTTTCTCCTGTTTACCGAAACAACGCAAAAAGGGTCATCGGAGCATCTAGAGAGGTGAGCACAGAGCTACCCAGCCGAAGCATTTTCGCTTTTTCCGTTTTCTTCTGGCTGGGTTTTTGTTTTTTTTTTTTTTGTTTCTGGTGTTCTACTGCAAGATCCTTTTTTATGGCTGTCTTAGATTTTCCTCTTGGATCTGCTCGAATTATCGAAATGTCGTTGAATTCAATTCAGTTTGATAATTTGAGATTATACTGAATTTGTTTTCTATTGTAGAATTTTCCCTGGAAATATGGTTTAAATTTAGGCTCTGATGATAATCTTCTCTATTTTAGGGTTTTTTTTTTCAAAATTTAATGTATACCAACAACGAGAGGCATAATGCTCCCAACGGAGGCCCCATCAACGGGAGGCTTGATGCTCCTAACGGAGTGGAGACAACTGATTGGAGAACTCAGTTACACCCTGACTCGCGGCAAAGAATTGTCAACAAGATGTAAGTTAAACTATTTCGCATAAAGTGAAGTGATTGTAGATTGATTGATTTGGTTTTCTAAAGGTTAAGCTTGTGCTAGTTTCACGTAAAAAAAACTGGAGTGAGTCCTGCAGGCATTTCCTAACCATACTGTTTGGTTAGAGGGCCAACTTTACTAGGAAAGTTTGTATTGGGAAAGCGGTTAGAAAAGTATCGTATAGAATGTTGATAAGTCTTGTAGTGAAGTTTTGGCGTAATTTTGTTGCGTTGTGAACTTTTCTGTATTTGGTAAGAAATTGATGGAAAGTTGTGGGGAAATGTTTTTCCTTTAAAAAGTGTGGGGAGAAAAGTTTATGAGTTGTGAATTGTGTAAGGGAAAATAAAGGTTGAAAATGCCACTTTTACCCTCCTTTTGTTGTAGTATTAATGTGTAAAAATACGTAAATAACCTAGTAAGGGAGCAAGTTTAGAAAACTTTAGGGGGGAAAGTTTTCCCCCAACCAAACACCCCCTAAAATGCAAGTTCTATCTTAGCAAACTGCTTTTCCTACTATCTACTGGCTGCTGTAATTTTGTTTGTATTACGGGCATTTATATCTTCAATACAAGTATACAACTAATCCAGGAGATCCATGTCTTTTAATAATCCTAAGTTTCTTCATTGTTCCTATCTCTAGGAACCAAGTCCTTTTGTGCATATTCTAAGTAGTTGCAACTTGCAAAATAAATCCTTTACCCTTGAATTAACCACATCATTTACATGCCCTAACATTAAAGTTAGAAGACCTTGCCAATTTATTTCTGTCCTTCACCCACTTTTCACTATTTCTTGAGGTCTGATGTAACATATAACCAGGAGGCGCCTCAAAGAAATGTTCCTATCATACATCTTGATCAGTGTTTCCGCCTTGCAAGTTGCAACCCACTAGGTGAGGTACCATTGAAGAGGTGATGCGAAAGCATACCTGCATTTTATTTCCCCCTTTCACAGTGTTTTTTTTTTTTTTTTGACCCATCTGAGGGTGTTGAATGCTTTATCAGGAATGTTCCCAGTTTCCCACAAGAGAAACAAGCATCTTTAAAGAGGATAAAAAAAAAAAAGTAGAGAGAGAAGAAA